TATATGTGTGTGTGTGTGTGTGTGTGTGTGTGTGTGTGTGTATGTGTGTGTGTGTATGATGTAAAAATAGGAAAGGATCTAAAAGGGGAAGGAAGGATAACTAATTGGAGGGTGAAAGATAAATATTGTATGTTCTTTATTATATGTGGAACTGATATTTAACATGGTGTGTGTGTGTGTGTGAGTGTATGAGAGAGAGAGAGAGAGAGAGAGAGAGAGAGAGAGAGAGAGAGAGAGAGAGAGAGAGAGAGATATTCCCCAGTACTTTCATGTGCAGCAGTAGTTTAGTCATACAGACTGTTGGGTGTTTTTATGCTCCAGTATATGCGGTATATGGAATATTTACACACTGTGGTGTGTGTACGTGGAACATGAAAGCAGAAGAACAATTATGTGGAAAGACAGGACCAGCAGAGGGGCAGGAAAGGGTAATAGGAGTGAATATAAGCATGGTACAGTGACAGACATAAATGAAAACGTCGAAACCCATTGTGTATGTTTGCTAAAACCTCATTTAAAATGGCTCAACTTTCACAAAATGAAAATACTAAGGTAGCCACAACATATCAGAATTCACCTTGAGCCTGGCAATGGCGCCATAAATATTGAAGTGTTTCAGGGAATTTTAGCTGAGGAGCAAACCCCCCTACACACACACACACACACACACACACACACACACACACACACACACACACACTCTGAATGTGAGTAGTGCTGTCCCATGGCCTGGAATCCCAGAGGAATAAAAGGGGGAAGAGGAGGCCCGCTGAGCACCACCGGTCATCTCTCTCTGCTTCCTGTGACAGACTGTGATCAGCCACCCCACTTTCTAATCACACCTTCCTTGCCGTGACGGATTTTAGCCTCACAAACTTCTAGACAAAATAAACCCTTCCATCTCTAACACACTTTTGTGAGGCATTCTTTTTTCATAGCAATGAGAGAAATAACTAATCTAGCCACCTCCCCCCGGAATTCCTTTTAATCTTTCTTCTTCCCGGTTCCGACCTGCTGACCTTTTGGCAATGCTCAGGACTCTGTATGCCAACTTTCTGCAGGAAGTAGACGACATGGACAAGGAGAAACGAGAGGACCAAAGCACCCAGGACTGGCTCCTCACTCCAGGCTGTGTGCTCCAGCCCAGGGGAATTAAACTCGCTGGAAACGGAGAAGCCAGGCACCAGGGCTTTCCTTATAGTTTGTTTCCCAGGTGACTGAGTTGATTGTCCAATACCATTGCTCAGACCTTTTGCTTTTTGCCAAAACTGAAATGACAATGGTTCTCAACGCTGTGAGGATGTTAGAATCGGGGGTGGGGCTATCTGCGGTCCATCTCCAGAGATCCTGATTCAGAAGACCCAGGCAAGGTCCGATCCTTGCCTTTTTTAACAAGTCAATTATGTCAAGTAGGTCAAAGAGCATGCCGAACTCTTAAGTAAGTCCCTCGCTTTCAGGGAAATCCATTTCATAGAACAGACTTTTTCAGTTGGTGATAGGAAGAGTTTTAATGGTGTTGAAAACTATTTCTCGAGATTTGATCAACTGGAGCTTTGATTTAAGGACAGAGTGTCTTCAGGCTGATCTCAAACCTGCTTTGTAGCTGAGGACACCCTTGCACTTCGGTCCCCTGTGTCCATCTCCTAAGAGTTATAGGTAGGGGTCACTATACCTGGTTTCACGCAGCGGGGATGAGCCCAGAAGCTTGAGCGTGCTAGGCAAGCATTCTACCAACTATCCCCCCCCCCACAGCTGCTGGGATGGTTTAAGTAAAATCTACTTGAAAACAGAGGTGGCTCTGAGTTGCTATGACCACTTGGCTTATATCTACAACATTTCATAATGCATTTGACTTTTTTGAAATCTAGGCTTTACTATTGAGAATTTTTTTATTTTTTTTTATTTTTTTATTTTTTATTTTTTTTTGAGACAGGGTTTCTCTGTGTAGCTTTACGCCTTTCCTGGAACTCATTTGGTAGCCCAGGCTGGCCTCGAACTCACAGAGATCCGCCTGCCTCTGCCTCCCGAGTGCTGTGATTAAAGGCGTGCACCACCACTGCCCGGCGAGAATATTTTTAATAGAACCAAACAAATTGAAGTTATAGAAGGCTGCTTGCTATCTTTATATGATTTACTGTTGTTAGTAGTCTTGTTAATTCACCACGGTACCCGTGGAAAGGTCCGATGACAATTCTTTCTCCTGTGCGATTCTAAGACGGGAACTCGGGTCACCAGGTGTGTGTGTGTGTGGCAAGCACACTTGTATCAGCTGAGTCATCTCACTGGCTCAGCTTATCATCTTTATATTCATGTTTTGAAATTTCGCATTGGGCTTCATTCCTGGCAATAACAATTTCACTGTCTACAGCATTGCTTTTCAGACCCAGTGTGCCTGGAGCTCTTGACAAGCTGTAGATTTTGTTTCAGTAAGTCTGGGATGAAGCCTCATTTCTTGGAAACTCCCCAGAGAAGCTAGAACAGCTGTCTGGGGACAACTGAGGCACTACTGCCTGGGTTTCCTCCTCTGCAGCTCATCTTTTACCTCCTAAGAGATTATGTCCTACATCTTCATTTTAGCCTAAGTTAGAAAAGTCAAGACTTCGGTGGCTAACTGATCTCCTTAACACACGCTGCCCTCAACTTAGAACGAGGACTTAGAGAAATGAAAAATTAAACAGGAGTCAAGTGTAGACTTTGAAAACAGCTAAAAACATGACCCAGACTTTCCATGACCACACATTTCAACATTGTCACATTTGAGCTCTTGTTACTTAACAAGAAGTAAAAACAGCTTATCACTGGAAAAGATGTGTTATATTCTGATATTGCACATAAGTAAACCTCCCTTCAAAAGCTATTTAGTAATCTGCATCAGGAGATATTCTGCTTGCTTATATCATAATTGCTTTAATGTTTAAGCTATTTTGTCATTCTTGATATTTGATTATAAATAACTTAGTTGTTTGGTATAATATTTGTTGAGCTCCTCATTATAATGGATAACAAATTATTGAAGGGAAAAGGTGCTTGCTACAAAGATGTCTATGAACTATTAACTAAAATGAACAGCTAAGAAATTAAATCTTTAGCAGCAGGGTAGGTTTTGACATAATAAAAAACATAGTTCAAGGCATTAAAAATGCTGAGTGGATTATAATGTTGTGTGTAAAACAAATACAGTAGAAAATCACAGAGGCAGAAAATGAAAGAGAAGATCGAATTTTAAATATTCAGTGTTACTACATAATACTTTGACCAATAAGATGTTAATGGGTAGGCATGGTGGTACATGTCTACAACCCCAACATCAAAAAGACAGAAGGAGAGGCAGGAGGATTCGGAGGTTGAGGTTAGCCTGAACTACCGGACCAGACTCTGTTTTAAAAAACAAACAA